AAAACTGGCAAATGGTTAAAAAATGTGCTTTTGTTTTTATTCTTGGGTTTTATTTTACTTTGTGTTTATTTCTTTTCCAGCAGGGTGGCGTAAAAATGGAAGAGCAGGGACCCAGGAGACCCATTCAAAGGGAGAGACTGGAGTGCAAAGGAAAGAAACCTCCTGTCGGCCAAGTTGGGACCATCAGGGATCTTCTGCCTCGGGCAGATTTATGTCAAATTAAGCAGGAGCCAGAGGAGGGGCAGCCGCAGCAGCACTGGGAGGCCCAGAAGCAGGATTTCCTGAAGACGATGCAGCCCCCTCGTTCAGGGTGGGAAACCCCACAGGCTCCCAGTCCTCCCCAATCTGGGGATGGTGTCCTCTCCTTCAGGGGAGCTGCGGATGCCAGTGGGAAAGCAGGGGGAGCAGACCAGACCCTGCTCCCAGACACTGAGGGGCTTCTGGGAAAGGTAAGTGCCCTCCTCTCACCTGGGTTTCCAGCACCTGGAGGTCACAGGTCCACTGCCTCTAGACATGGAGGTTCTGTTTAGCTTTGGTGGTGAATATTCCTCCTCCCTGCACTTTCTCTCTAATCCACTTCTAAAAGGCTTGCTAGACCAAACTTTTTTATACATGGGAGTTTTGTGATCATATCTCCTGATGTTGTTACTTTAGTAAAGCAACCAAAGGGGACTCGGAATTTCATCAGAGCAGAAGCTACGTCAGAAGAGGTGATCTTCCACCAATCCTCATTTTCCTCCTCTAAATTGCCTTCATTTCCAAAATGCTCTTTTCTCCCCACTGAGGTAAAATCTTGGCACGTCTTGCAGCCTCAGCAATCCCATGTGTACTCGCATTAAATTAAGACTGGCCCTATTTTGCAAGGTTGTTGCAAGATTTATTAGGATAATGGTCAGGTTCAGGTGACTGAATCACAGCCTGAAAATCCGGGTTAAAAATAGGAACAGTTTTTAATGCATTGCTGCAGCAAAGTTACGATAAAACCTAAGTTGACTCAAGATTAAACCCAAAAACTCTAGCCACCACCGCAGTCTCCTGGCCCCCACAACCAGAATGCATCACTCCATAAGGACCCCCACCCAACCTTTAGTGAGAGAGGGCAAAAGAAAAGGACTCTAAATGGGTAGTTGCACAAATTTACCAGGTGTGGTCCTGCACTGACAGCAAGGCTTACAAACAGGGGAGCTGGGAACGTGCTGGTCCCATCTCTCCCTGCATCTGCCTCCTGACCTAATTGTCCCAGCTTATCTCATGATTGGGCCAACCCTGATGGTGAACTGTGATGAAACCAGGCAATTTCTTATGAGCCATAACTAACAAACTTTCCATTTTGCCCAAACCAGGAAACTACGGCTGCCAGCTTTGGAATAAGCTGGGGTATTAAGCTAACTTCAAACTGTGCTTGGTGAAAACAGGAAATTCTGGTTGATCAGTGGCTTCGTGGTTTGACTGTTCCCACTGATAGCAGTAAAAATAGGAAGCCCTGTTGCATTCAAAGGGGTTGTTTGGACAGAGTCTGTGATCAGCATGCCAATCAGGACAGGCTTAAAAAGGTAAAGGACCCCTGACCATTAGGTCCAGTCGTGGCTGACTCTGGGGTTGTGGAGCTCATCTCGCTTTACTGGCCGAGGGAGCCGTCGTACACTTTTCGGGTCATGTTGCCAGCATGACTAAGCCGCTTCTTGCGAACCAGAGCAGTGCACGGGAACGCTGCTTATCTTTCTGTCAAAGCGGTACCTATTTATCTACTTGCACTTTGATGTGCTTTCGAACTGCTTGGTTGGCAGGAGCAGGGACCGAGCAACGGGAGCTCACCCTGTCGCGGGGATTCGAACCGCCAACCTTCTGATCGGCAAGTCCTAGTGGCCACCCACGTCCCAGGATAGGCTTCGGAAGCAATTATTATTATTATTATTATTATTATTATTATTATTATTATTACTTTCATCCTGCCTATCTGACTGGGTTACCTCTGCCCATCTGGGTAGCTTCCAACAATACAAAAACAAGCAAAACTTTCCCTGTAAAAGGCTGCCTTCGGAAGTCTTCCATTTCGTAGAAATGGCCTTCGGTTTTAAAGAATTGCCCTCTTTAAGGAATCACTTGGTGTAAACATGTATGTTGTCCTCTAGGTCCAAACACACACAGACACACACATGGTAGGAGCAAGCAGTGCTCCAAAGTGCTTTGCGAACTTGCCGTCTAAGTTGTTTACTCCTGACCAAAGTTCCTGTTTCCCAAAAGGACAGGAGGGGGAGCAGAGGAGGAAACGGATGGGTTTGAAGGCTCTTTCTGCCTCTCTCACCTGAGAAACAAGAGCAAAGGGTGTTTGCAGGGCAGGAGGACAGAGGAAGAGGCAGCGAGGGCAGAGGGAGCAGTGGGCGGATCCCCCGCCTCTCCCAAGGGGTCCAGATGCAAGCAAGGGGCTTCCTTCTTCTCCCTGCAAGGGCCACCCATGTATTCAGAGCTGTCCTTTGCAGATTAACTTTTAAGTTCCCAAGAATCTACTCTCAGGCCACTAATGTGCATACCATGCCAGCCTTAGGAAGGGAGGTGGGACAGGCAGATGAAAAGAATTGCCAAAGGTGTTTGAAAATGCACCTTGGGAAGGGGCCCTGGAAGGGGGTGCCCAATTGCGGCTTCTCCAGGGGCAGTAGAATGTCTTGGGCAGGAGAATCCCTGCAGGGGCTCTCAGAATCCCTTGGCTTCTTCTTCCCTTCCTCCCAGGAAGCTGCAACTTGCTCTGGCTTCTGCACTCCTCAGGAAGCTGAACCTGCAAACCTAGCTGAGACTGAACCTGCAACCCTGGCCAGGATGGAAGGAGGAAGATGGACGGTTGACCTGGTCAGGCTGTCTCCCGCATCCCTCCCCACAACCTCTGAGCATTCCCTCCCAGGACCCTTGGAGAAATCTGGTGAGTTCCAGGGGAGAGGAGATGGGGACAGGGACAGATGGATGGTGGAGGGAGAAAGAGGAAAAGATGGAGAGGAGACAAATGGAAGGAAGTTCCTGACAGGAAGAAGGAAGAGGTGAAGCCTTCTGCAAAGCAGCTCTTTGTTTCTTGAATCCTTTTCCTAAAGTAGTGGGGTCAGATTTTCTTCCTCCAGCCTTTGAAATCTTAGGTGTTATTTCCATGGCAGGAATAATTGATGATAATGATGTTGCACACCAATCCTGAAAAATGGGTGAAGGGGAATGGAAATGCTTCCCATAATTATTTATAATTAATGTATTTAAATTGTTTCTATTACTCTTATTTTTTATAGACAGGGTCAGAATGATACATTCCACCAGCATCAAAACACAATAAATGCATGCACCTCCCAGTTTGGTGGGCTTAAGGGACAAAGGACCAGTTATCATGATACACAATTCCTGTGGCTGGAGGCTCTGCACTTAGGATTGGTCATATAAAGTCCAAGAGCAGGTGGTATTATAAGCAAACTGTGTAAACTTGCCAATCTCACAGACTGGGGTTGTTTGTGTGAGTGAGTGAGTGAGTGAGTGAGTGGGATAATAATTTTAGCACCCCTGTGTAATGGCTTGGTTCTCCCGCACAGACATGAGACAACTCCAGTAGTAATTATCTCAAACTCATAAATCACTGTGGAGCTCAGTCTTCGGCCTGTTCATCCCAGCTTGCAGTTGCCGAGTCCTCCAGCAAAGAAGGCCCCGCTTTCACTTTCTTTTCCCCTCTTCTTGCAGATTCTCTAGAGCCTACGATTTTTTGGACAGGCTATTTCGGGGGCTCTGTGTCAGAGCTCAAACTGGAGATAACAGTCTGTGCCCCCCCCGTCACCCCCTCTTCCTGCTCTTTGTTCTTTGCTCCTGCTGCAGCTTGGCTGCTCCTCCTCTGCTTCACATTCCAACTGAATCACATCTCTTGCCTTCTCAGGCTCTGTCAGCGGAGGCACGAGAGGCTTGAGATTCACAGAGCTGACACCCTGTAATTTTGTCCGTTCCTAAGCTTCCATGGAGATACTGTGGTACAACCTTGGTGCAAATTTCAAAATAAATATACAAAGCCAACAAAGAGACTCAGAAGTTTATAGTGGCACCAGCTTTCCTGCTCAAAATTCCACTTTGTGAGACTGCAGCCCACAAAAGCTTAGGCCATAATACATTTATCAGCCTTTAAGGGCTGCAAAAGATGAATAAACAGAAGCGTAGTTCATCTATGGAATCTATCCTACAGGAGACAGTGACGGCCAGCAACATGGATAGCTTGAAAAAAAGGATAAGACTGACGTCTCTGCTCTGCCCTCGCAATCCGAGGCAATAACGCTTCTTAATACTAGTTTCTGGAAAGCACAGGAAGGCAGAGAAGACTCTTGTGCTCCAATCCTGCTTGCCGGTTTCCCACAGGCATCTGGTTGGCCTCTGTGAGAAGAGGATGCTAGACTAGGTGGGCCTTTGCCTGATCCAGCAGGCTCTTCTTAGGTTCCAATATATTGCAATATTTTTACAGTTACATGTAGCACTTAAGTTTTATTTATTTCACAAGGGAAATACTGTTACTTGAGCCTGAGATCATTTCTTCACTTCAGAAAGAAAAAATAGATGTGTCTAATAAGCCAATTCCACCATAGATCTGGATTATAAAACGATGCTGCTTTATTAAGTGTGAATGGAGTGATCATGTGTTGCTCTTGCCACTATCTCATCAGCTTTTCAAAAAATATGGAACCTAGAGAGGACAGTGGAGAATGGAGACTGTGTGAAAATGAGAGAAGGTGCAGATTGGGATTGACAGGTGTTCAGTTCCTTTTTTGTCTTTCTTGAAAGTCTAACAGGATTCTCTTTCCTCCCAGACTCCCAAACAGGTGAGGAAGATGAAAGTCAGAATTCTATGAAGCCACAGGTGAATTTATGGGGGAAAACAAAGACATTGAGGATACAACAAAAAAGTCAAAAAGGAGAGAAACTATTTAAATGTATGGCATGTGGAAAGAGCGTCAGTGAAAGTGGAAAACTTAGAATACACCAACAAACTCACACAGGGGAAAAACCATATAAATGTATTGAATGTGGAAAGAGCTACAGTCAAAATGGATACCTTAGAATACATCAACGAATTCACACGGGGGAGAAACCATTTAAATGTATTGAATGTGGAAAGAGTTTCAGCAAAAGTGGAGTACTTAGAGTACACCAATAAACTCACACAGGGGAGAAACCATATAAATGTATTGAATGTGGAAAGAGCTACAGTGAAAATGGATACCTTAGAATACACCAACGAACTCACACAGGGGAGAAACCATTTGAATGTTTTGAGTGTGGAAAGAGCTTCAGTACAAGTGGAGACCTTAGAATACACCAACGAACTCACACAGGGGAGAAACCATTTAAATGTATTGAATGTGGAAAGAGTTTTAGCATGAGCGGAGCACTTAGAGTACACCAACGAACTCACACAGGGGAGAAACCATTTAGATGTTTTGAATGTGGAAAGAGTTTTAGCATAAGCGGAGCACTTAGAGTACACCAACGAACACACACAGGGGAGAAACCATTTGAATGTTTTGAGTGTGGAAAGAGCTTCAGTACAAGTGGAGACCTTAGAATACACCAACGAACTCACACAGGGGAGAAACCATTTAAATGCATTGAATGTGGAAAGAGTTTTAGCATAACCGGAGCACTTAGAGTACACCAACGAACTCACACAGGGGAGAAACCATTTAGATGTTTTGAATGTGGAAAGAGTTTTAGCATAAGCGGAGCACTTAGAGTACACCAACGAACTCACACAGGGGAGAAACCATTTAAATGTATTGAATGTGGAAAGAGCTTCAGTACAAGTGGGAAACTTAGAATTCACCAACAAACTCATACAGGGGAGAAACCATTTAAATGTATTGAATGTGGAAAGAGTTTTAGCATAAGCGGAGCACTTAGAATACACCAACGAACTCACACAGGGGAGAAACGGTTTCAGTGTATGGAATGTGGAAAGAGCTTCAGTCAAAATTATACACTTAGAAGACACCAACGAACTCACACAGGGGAGAAACCATTTGAATGTTTTGAGTGTGGAAAGAGCTTCAGTACAAGTGGAGACCTTAGAATACACCAACAAATTCACACAGGGGAGAAACCATTTAAATGTATTGAATGTGGAAAGAGCTTCAGTACAAGTTCGAAACTTAGAAGACACCAACGAAGTCACACGAGGGAGAAACCATTTCAATGTATGGAATGTGGAAAGAGCTTCAGTGGAAGTGGACATCTTAGAATACACCAACAAACTCACACAGGGGAAAAACCATTTAAATGTATTGAATGTGGAAAGAGCTTCATTGATAGTGGATCATTTAGAAGACACCAACGAACGCACACAGGGGAGAAACCATTTAAATGTATTGAATGTGGAAAGAGCTACAGTCAAAGTGGAGCACTTAGAAGACATCAACGAACTCACACAGGGGAAAAATCACAGATACTTTAATAAACCGTATAGGTGTTCTTTACCTTTCCTTCTATGCTTCCTTGCAATACTGATAAAATCAAACCACACCAATGCTTTCAGCCCCAGAAGAGGAGCTCCCCTTGGTGTCAGGGGAGGGGTCCAAGGCAGCATCTGGAGCCCTGCCATTCCTGTCCCTGGCCCCTTCCCCTCCTCTCTATGCCATCCCAGGGCCACTCTTGACTCCACAGCAGGAGACTGGATCTGTCTGTGATGGTGAGATGTCCTGGCTGGTTGAAGGACCACTTCCTGTTTTCTGCAGCTCCATCCTTCTTTCTCATGCAAGGTGGAGTCATGAAGCAGGTGAAGGCTGAGCACACCTAAGGGTGGCACAGGGTGTGGGTGGGATTCTGCTTAATCTTTCCCCGTCTTCTCCTTTTCTGGATCCAAATCCCCACACAAAAAGGGGTAGTGTGAGGGCGCAATCAGTGTTATGGAGCTGCACTGAAAATCATTGCTTTGTGACCGTAAGAGGCCCTTCTCACAAAAACAAGCATCAAGAGAATTTAAGCTACAGAATTTAAAACAAACAGATAATTACAAAAAAAGAAAGCAGTCTGGTGCCACATTGCGTAGGAGTTACTTTAGCATACACTACCTGGGGCTGCCTTTGAAAAGAGCTCAGAAACTTCAATGGCTCAAAGAGCTGCAGACACATTACTGACCAGGGCTGGCTATAGGCAGAATAGGACTCCCATATTAGAACAGCTCCATCTGCCTAATTGTCTGTTTCTGGGCACAATCAATGTTTCCACAAGAAGAGGAAGATAGATTTGGAGTGCCGCATTTTCAAAAAGATGGACACACGACTATTTCTTTGTGGAGCTGAAAGGCATGCCCGTGTGCCTCATTTGTGGTGAGGCCCTCTCCGTCCTGAAGAAGGCCAACCTGCAGAGGCACCACAGGACAAAGCACATTCAGTACAAGGGAGTTCCAAGGGCAGCTGCGCCAGGAGAAGGTCAAGGCGCTGAAAACGGACCTGTTGGGTAACCTGTGGCCCATCCAGATGATGTGATATTGCAACTCACGTCTTCTTTAGCCGTTGGCCACGCTGGCTGGGGCTCATGGGAGCTTGAGTCCAAGGATCGAGGTCACAAATGCCGGGGACAATTCAAATCCCTCCTCAGTCATGAAGCCGATTGGGCGACTTAAAGCTGGTCACCATCTTTATGTGAAACCTCCCTCGCAGGGTTGCTGTATACGTGAAAGCAATATATCTTGTGGTGGGCTTGATGAGGGGAGTGTGGAAGAGAAATGTAATTCATGGGTAAGAGGACAGGAAATAGTTCTGAATCTGACTGAAAATAAAGGATTCTTTGTCTCCAAATTGCATATAGCAAGCACATGTGTTGTTGAACTCTAGCTGAAGTCTCAGCATCTGGTTCCTCAGCACTCTGCACTCTCTCTCTGGAAACCTCCGGCTGTCAGGTGACAGGAACCAGCCAATGCCTCCCAGTCTGCCAAGAGCTGAGATTGGAAGTGGACAACCAAGGAAACATAGGGGAGCATTTTCATTTCCATGCTTATGAATATTGAATTGAAGCAATTCATCTGATGTGTTCAAAATAGTAGAGAAAATTTATGGTTGACACCACCTTGGGATAGTTTTGACAGGAATTCGGGGAACTAGGAATATTTTTAGTTCCATCAGGGTTGATGGATCAGCAAATAGCTAGAGAGGATTAAGGGGTGGGGGCGGGAATCAGGCCTTGTTTCTCATGTGACAGATAACCGATTCCACAGTTCTTAAATGTGACCATTTGCGACACAAGATCTACCCACCAGGGAAGAATGGCAGATGAAGGTGATGGACTATATGGAACTGGCAGAAATGACTGGCAGGATCCGAGACCAGGGAGAAGAGTCGGTGGAAGAAGATTGGAAGAAATTTAAAGACTATTTACAGAAACATTGTAAAATTAATGAATGTTAGAAAGATATTGGAATGAACTTATGTGGTTTTAGCAGAAATGTTATAAAGGATTAGGAAAAAATAGACTGTTAATTGGTGAAACGAGGGAAAGTAAAGTTATATCATATTAAGATAAATTACAGGACAAAAATTGTAAAAAGATGGAAAGGATTTGCTGAAATAGTTAACCGAACTAGAATACAAAAAAGGGAGGTGTGAGGAGGTCAAGAAAACAAGCTAACAAATGATAAGTTATGGGAAGATTCGATGTTTTATTTTTTTAATGGACTTTTTTCTGGTTTTGTATTTTCTTTTTTTTCTTTTCCTATTATGATGTGTTGTTTTTGATGTTGTTTAATATGATGTTATTATTTTTTCTTTTTGTAACCTTTAAAACCTTAATAAATATTATTAAAAATAAATAAATAAATGTGACCATTTGCTGCCTCCCAAAATTATGCTTAAGCCTTTCCCCTCCCCCCCAAACAACAACAACTCAAACATGGTAGCTGGTCTTGTCAAACGGGCCAATATAAGGTTCATTTGGCAAGTTTATTATTGTTTAGTCGTTTATTTGTGTCCGACTCTTCATGACCCCATGGACCAGAGCACGCCAGGCACTCCTGTCTTCTACTGCCTCCTGCAGCTTGGTCAAACTCATGTTCGTAGCTTTGAGGACACTGTCCAACCATCTCATCCTCTGTCGTCCCCTTCTCCGTGTGCCCTCCATCTTTCCCAACATCAGGAGGGTCTTTTCCAGGGAGCCTTCTCTTCTCATGAGGTGGGCAAAGTATTGAAACCTCAGCTTCAGTATGTGTCTTTCCAGTGAGCACTCAGGGCTGATCTCCTTCAGAATGGATAGGTTTGATCTTCTTGCAGTCCATGGGACTCTCAAGAGTCTCCTCCAGCACCATAATTCTTTTTTAAAAAATAAATAAATAACATTTATTAAAGTTTCAAAGAATTACAAAAATAAAAAGAAAACAGAAAAAAACAAAGTACAGAAAAATAAAAACAATTAAAAACAAATCAATCTTTACATGTCTTGTCTTTCATTTACTTGTTTCCCTGACCTCCTCACACCTCCCTTTTTTGTATTCTAGTTCAATTAGTTACTTCAGCAAATCCTTTCCATTTTTGCTTTTATCTTAATGATTTATCTTAATATATTGTAACTTTACATTCTCACCTATTCATGATCTGTTGTCTTTTAAATGATATTTTATTAAGTTTTGAGAATAACAACAAACAGAAAAAGGAAAAAAACACATACACAAAAATATAAAATTATAAAATACAAAAAATACAAAAGTTTAACTTAGAAAAGAAAGAAAAAAGAAAAAGAAAGAAAAAAGCACATTAAAAAAACACCACAAAAATCCCTCTTTTTAATTCCTCATCTTTGATTCACTTATTTTCCTGACTTCCTCACGTCTCCCTTTTTTGTATCCCTTTTGAAAATTAGTTCAGCATATTCATATCCAATTAATTTATCTATTATCAATCCAATCTTATTTTTTACCTTGTTGCTAGAACCCCTTCAGTTCATTTCAATGCCATCAACATTCAAAAATTTTACAATGTTTCTGTAAATAAATTTTAATTTTCCTCCAACTCTTCTCCCTGGTCTCGGATTCTGCCAGTCATTTCCGCCATTTCCATGTAGTCCATTACTTGCATCTGAATTTTACCTAATTCTATAACATTACTGCTAAAACCGCATAACTTCATTCCAGCATCCTTCTAACATTCCTTAATTTTACAATGTTTCTGTAGATAGTCTTTAAATTTCTTTCAATCTTCTTCTGCCGACTCTTCTCCCTGGTCTCGGATTCTGCCAGTCATTTCCGCCAGTTCCATGTACTCCCATCACCTTCATCTGCCATTCTTCCCGGGTGGGTAGATCTTGTGTCTTCCAATACTTTGCGATAAGTATTCTTGCTGCTGTTGTAGCATACATTAAAAAAATTCTATCCTTCTTTAACACCAACTGGCCGACCATGCCCAGGAGAAAGGCCTCTGGTTTCTTCAGAAAGGTATATTTAAATACCTTTTTCATTTCATTATAGATCATCTCCCAGAAAGCCTTAATCCTTGGGCATGTCCACCAAAGGTGAAAGAATGTACCTTCAGTCTCTTTACATTTCCAACATTTATTGTCAGGCAAATGATATATTTTTGCGTGCCTAACTGGTGTCATGTACCACCTGTATATCATTTTCATAATATTTTCTCTTAAGGCATTAATAGAGCAACTATTACACGTGGATTTGGAGAAACCACTGAGGTTGGAGACAGATGCATCAGACAGAGCCATCGGGGTTGTTCTTTTGCAGTCAGGATTGGGCAAGCAAGAATGGAAACCGTGTGCCTTTTTCTCGAGGAAGCTGAGTAAGTCGGAACAAAACTACACCGTGTACGACCGAGAACTGCTCGCAATCTACGCTGCCTTTCGTCGGTGGCGCCATCTGCTGATAGGGCCCAGCGGAAGATCCAGCTTTGTACAGATCACAAGAACTTGGAATACTGGAGGACAGCACGAGTGCTCAACCAGAGACAGATTCGCTGGGCTCAGGAATTCTCCAAGTTTTCTTTTGAAATCCGGTATGTGCCAGGAGAGCAAAACGTGAGAGCAGACGCTCTTTCGTGAAAACCAGAGTACTTCGAAGGAGAGGAGCCGCCGGAGACACGACACGTCATACCTGAGGACCAATGGGTGTGTGGGGGAACTCTAGTGGGCACGAGGGAACTGGCAGGGCTCACTAGGAACGATGAATTCGCCCGAACAAAAATCAGGGAACTCCAAAATGGGAGGGGAGCACCAGAGGGGTTTGAAGAGAAGGAAGGGGTGTTGTACTATAGGGGGGCGATGTACGTACTGGGGGAAGTTCTGAGAAGAAGGGTACTCAAACAACTACATGACACCCCCACAGCGGGACACTTTGGATAACACAAAACTATGATATTGGTGACCAGACAATTCTGGTGGCCAAGGGTGAGGGAAGATGTACGAGAATATGTACGAGGGT